AGTCAGGCTTCTGCAGGCCTCCTGACCTTGGTAGGTCCCTCTGAAGGCGAAAACAGTGAACGTGTCTGAGGAGGGGACAGATGGGCAAGCCTCTCTCCCTCCTCTTTCTTTAGCTTACGCTTTAAAACCTTCCACCCTCAGGAGAAAGCTGGCTGCTAGGCTCCAGGTGGCAGAGGAGACAGCGGAAGCTGCCCAAGCCCGGGCCGCCAGCATGGAGAAAACCAAGCAGAGGCTTCAGATAGAAGTGGAGGACCTCACTCTTGACCTGGAAAAGGTAAGGGACATGTGGCAAAGATGGATTCCTGCCAACATATGCCTGAACAAAACATCCCAGGAAGCCCAAGGACCTGATTTAAAGCCCACTGAAGTCCCTCTGTCGATTTCCATGGACTTCCATGGTCTCTACTAAGGTTACCAAAGTAAAGACAACGTCTTGCATTACCAGCAGTAGCAAGGCACTAGACGGATCCCACTGTGTGAAGGCCCAGAGGATAGTCACAGACATTCCATATAGGCATACAGCAGGTTCCTTTTAGTCAGGCTAATTAACCAGCTTCCAGTAGCAGCAAAAGCAAGAGTCCATCTGGCCAGACAGCCCGTCCTACCTGGGAACCCTCTCCGAAGCAGGTTTTCGACAATGCCATTTTCCTTCGCCTTTTCCAGCGTTGCACCACCACCGTTTGCAGCAACGGTGGGAATGCTAGTGTGGACTGGCCACGGGTGTTTTAATCATCATGTCATCTAGCCCTGCAGTCTAGACAACCTGGCAGTGGAAACACTAGTGATCGGTGCTGCCGGTCTACGCTAGCGTCTCCACCTTTGCTACCGCTGGTCTAGATGCACCAATGATAGTGCAATGGTGGGAAATGGGAATAAAAATGCGAGTTAAATCAGGACTATGGGGTGCTCCAAAGCCCAATAAACTAAAAGGGAGTTTATCCAATGACTGCAATGGGCTTTGGATCAGGCCATAGGAGCAGACAACCTACCTCACTGTGTTACATCCATGAACGGTGGGTGACTCGCCAGTTCGGGAAGGCTAGCCTCCTCCCACCCTCCTTCCCCTGACGGAGCCCAGAGCCACCTCCACAGCCGCCAAGCCCCCCCTCCACCCCAGCATGCTGGGTGGGTGGTGCGCAGCCCCCCCAGCCTGCCCCCTCAGCACAGGGTGGGCAGTCCTAGCCCCAGGAGTTCCCCCCCACCAGCACTGGGTGGTGCAGCCCCAACACCTGGGGGCCCCCTAATGCTGGGTGACCCCAGCCACCCCAAGTCCCAGCCATGGCCACCCTTGCCCCAGCCCACTTCCCATAGACTTGCCAACCCTTCAGGATTGGCCTGGAGTCTCCAGGAATTAAAGATTAATCTTTAATTAAAGATTATGTCATGTGATTAAATCTCCAAGAATACATCTAACCAAAATTGGCAACCCTATTCCCTGAAGAGGAGCAGCCAGCCTGCCTGGGCTGGGGCCAAGAGGGAAGGCCAAGCAGGAGGGGGCCTTCTGGGCGGGGCCACTCTGGGCTGTTTGGGGAGGCACAGCCTACGATATGCGCTGCCCATGGTTACATCACTGGGGCAAATGGGTGTTTTGCTATAATTTCCCTCTAATGAAGCTCATCTTTGGATAGTAAGAATGCAAAGCGTATTCATGATTAAAAGCCATAAAGCTCCAGGAAAGAAAAATACACTGTTATCCTTTCCCTTTTATGGTGATTCAGTTTAACAAAATCTAAAATTACCTTGGCTAGCATCTTGTTTGCAACTGAAGCCAAAATGCTTTCGAAAGAGCCACAGTAGTCGACCACACGAATTCTTAACAGCACATCTGTACGCGATATATCTGAAATGGGAAACATTTGCTCCCCTATAACCACAGAATTGAGGGAGGCCATCACGCTGAAAGCAACTTGGTGGTCTTGCCAAATTCCTAACAGCAGGGAAAGAAAGCCAAGCAAATATTTTAACCATCCATTCAGAATGACTAAGAGGAACTCTGCCAGTCACCAGAGCTGCCGCCAATTTAACCGTGACTAGCTGGCAGGACACACACAGAAGCGATGTGTAAAGAAAAACTTGTCTGCAGTGAATGCTTGGCTTTCTGCTTCCAGGCCAATGCTGCTTGTGCTGCCCTGGACAAGAAGCAAAGGGCCTTTGATAAGATGCTGGCGGAGTGGCAGCAGAAATGCGAAGAGCTGCAGGTGGAGCTGGACAATTCCCAAAAGGATTGCCGCATGTACATGACTGAAAACTTCAAGCTCAAGACTGTCTATGAGGAAGCCCTAGAGCATCTGGAATCTGTTAAGAAGGAAAACAAGACCCTCCAGGGTAAGCACTGCTTCCATGTAAAAACAACCCCCACACATTCCCAAAGCCCCCAATTTACACCGAATGATGGACTGTAGCTTCTCCCAGCTGATACATTCTCTTTGTGAATGTATTTCTGATGACATTCCAAATGATGGGCCAAATTCTGCTCTTGGGGTGCAATTCACCAACCCACTGACACCTCCCCACGCACAAACACAAAGTAAATTGTGAAAGTAACGTAGGTAAATGTATAGTGTGGAGGGGGGGGACAAGAGGGGCTCAGGAGACAGGAAGATTGTGCTGCAGGTCAGTTGCCTCTTGGTGGCCACTGGTCTAAAGTAGGGGCCATGACCCCTCTGCATCCCTTGGGGGGATTATCATCACGAGAACAAGATAACAGGGAATGATGAACTAGTGGTTAAAACAATCAACTAGGATACATGAGACTTGGATTCCATTCCCAGCTCTACCTCAGAGTTTTCTGTGATCTTGACCCAGTCACTTAAGCTCTCTTTGCTTCAGTATTCCCCGTCTGTAAAATGGGGCAAATGACACTGACCTTCCTGACAGGGGTATTATGAGGATAACTCCATGAATATTTGGGAGGAGCTACGACCCTCTGGCAGTGTGGCCCACAGAAAATATATAATGATGGACTCAGTAGCATAGTCCTGATGCTCCCCGCCCCCTCCATCCTTTGCTTCAGCCTACAGTGGCTGGCACAGAGCCCAGACAGCGTGGAGTCTTGTTTTCACTTAGGAAGAGCAGCCATTTGAGAGACGGGAGGAAGAAGTGGAGAAAGATTGTGGAGTATTTCTCATGGCTTAATGGGTTTCTCTTTTCCATCTCCCTGACCACAGGCTGCCAGCAGGGCTCATTCAGAAACCCAGAGTAACATTTAGAAATGAAAGCAAAGCCCAACTGATTGGAAGGAGAGTCATAGAAATGTAGGGCTGGAAGGAACCTTGAGAGGTCATCTAGTCCAGTCCCGGGTGCTGAGACAGGACAAAGTACACCTAGACCATCCCTGACAGATATTTGTCTAGCCTGTTCTTAAAAATCTCCAATGATGGAGATTCCACAACCTCCTTTGGTAACCTATTCCACTGCTTAACTATCCTTATAGTGAGAAAGTTTTTCCTACTATCTAATTGAAATCTCTCTTGCTGCAAATTGTTGATCACTTGACTGGAACTATCTCAAGCCATTTTCTTTCAAAGGATCAGTACGGGTGGCACTTGTTAAAAGTTCCCAGTCCTGGAACACACCCACCACATGAAATCTCCATTTTTCTTCCTCAGAGGAGATTAAGGATCTGGTTGACCAGTTGGGTGAGGGAGGGAGAAGTGTACATGAGCTACAGAAGATAAAGAAGAAGCTGGAGGTTGAGAAGGATGAACTGCAGATGGCCCTAGAGGAAGCAGAGTCTTCCCTGGAGGTAATAACTGTATCCAATTCTGGCAACTACACATGAGGGGGACACATCAGACTAGTACATAACATGCTGGTCATATTTCCAGCAGATAAATTATATAGATTTTACCTCTTAAAACCCATTCAGTCACACCACTCTTGTATGTTTGCTGGCAGGTTGAAGAAAGCAAACTGATCCGTATTCAACTTGAACTAGCTCAGGTGAAAGCTGACATTGACAGAAGAATCCATGAGAAGGAAGAGGAATTTGAAGCTACAAGGTATGGAATATCTAAGTGCTCAAAGATACAGACACTCAGAGCTTTTTGACTCAATATGCACTGAGGAGGTGTAAGGTTCCCAGTATGAATATTCTTTCATTCCATGAAAGAAGCCCACATTTGCTTGGGTGATCTGTTGAATTTGACCTGATATAGTGGCTGTATTACCAGGGGATCTTGTCTTAACATTAAGAAGCAGGTGATTGTAGGAGGTTCTGGGTCAAATCCAGCTGTCCGTTACAGCTGCATGGTGTCACTGAAGTCCAAGGTGTTGCACTGCATAACTAAGAACAAAATCTGGCTCATAATACACGTCTTAGTTACTATCAGAACAGATTCTGCTTCAGAACTTACGCCAGTCTCTATTAGAGAGTACGATGAGACCTCATATGGGAGGCAGATTATCCCACAACCAGGGTTCCTACACCTTCCTCTGAGGCTTATGCTGCTGGCTAGTGTTGGAGACAGAATATTGGACTAGATGGACCTTGGCTCTGAGCCAGCCTAGCAATCCTTAGACTTCTAATGTTCACAAAAGATAAAAAATATTGTATCTCAGGGAAAAATGATAAACCACAATTATCCCATTAAACACTTGGGATTATTTCCAGTGCTTAGCTACCTCATGGGAGAAGTTTTGGTCCATTTCAAATCTATACTTATTAGCATGACGTACTCTAAGAAGCAAAGTGAGTGGGATCAATGTGGCTGCCAGGGTTTAGAATCCCATTTTCAGACAGTTTCTGCAATGATCCCTTTTTATTATTTCATGAACAATCCCTTGGTTTTACCCATCTAACGCCAAAGGCTGGACTGGACTCAAGTGTAACAGAATGATACAACTTGTGCTTCATTTGCATCCGCAGGAAAAATCATCAGCGTGCAATTGAGTCTCTGCAGTCAAGTCTGGAGATGGAGGCTAAGGGGCGTGCTGAAGCACTCAGGCTCAAGAAGAAGATGGAGACGGATCTGAATGAAATGGAAATCCAGCTGGATCATGCCAACAGGAACAACAGCGAGCTTGTCAAGACACTGAAAAAACTGCAGCAGCAGATCAAGGTAAACTGGAGAGGAGGAAGTAGGACCCTGAAAGGAAAATTCCATCCAGTTACATCTTTTTACATATAATAACTCTAGGAAGTGGAATATACAACCTTGTTTAGAGAGACTCTGTCAGGTCACACTTGCCCCCAAATTCAGGTTTTGTAAGCGAAGGATCTAAATCGGATGTAAATCAGGAATAACTTCATCCAAATCAATGGGGTACAATTATTGTGAGAGAAGAACCAGGCGCACAGGCTTTTACAAAACCTCAGACCAAAAAACTGCAATGAAAACAGTTTTGTTTTTAACAGACATTGCCTGCAGTGTTTGCAAACCAAACAGTGCTTCATCACTCCAGGGAGAGCCTGAAAGTGAAATTGATGAGAAATCAACTGAAATGAAAAGTGACACTTACCAGTCTGTTTTCTTTGTCCAAGCTCAGAGAACTGCAAAAAGGATACAAACAGCATAAAAAGGACAAACCAAATTTAGATTAAAAAATAAAATAAAATAATTTTAAAGGCCAGATCCTCAGCTGGTGTAAACTGGTGTCACCACAGCTGAGGATCTGACTCTAATAACTTAAGATATGGGTTCTCAAACTTCATTGCACCGCGACCCCCTTCTGATAACAAAAATTACTACACGACCCCAGGAGGGGGGCCAGAAGCCTGAGCCCATCCGAGCCCTGCCCCCTGGGTGGGTGGGGGGCCCAAAGTTGAAGCCCAAGGGCTTCAGTCCCAGGTAAGGGGCCTGTTATCTGAGCCCCAATGCCCTTGGGTTTCAGCCTCGGCCCCAGGCAGTGTGGCTCGGGCTTCGGCTTTGGCCCCAGGCCCCAGCAAGTCTAAGTCAGCCCTGGAGACCCCATTAAAATGGGGTCCCGACCCACAGTTTGAGAACCGCTGACCTAAGATGTTGTAACAGCATTGAAAGGTACATTTGTTTTCATTTTTAAATACGTGGGCCTTATTTTGGTTTTTGACACTGGTGCAAACCAGGAGTAACTCCACTGAGGTCAAAGAAGTTGCACTGGTATAAAGCAGGCATAAGTGACCTCAGAATCAGACATCAGGATTTTTAACTGGACAATGTCCCTTTTTAAAAAAAAGGAGAAAACACAGAGCTACTGGGTGGGCCTTCTTGTACCTTGTACTTCTTGTACCTTACAGCTTCCTCTGCATGCTTCTTAATCATACTGATGCCTCTTTTGCCTTCAGGATCTTCAGATTCAGATGGATGAAGATGCTCGCCAGCACGAGGAGCTCCGGGAACAATACAACCTCCAGGAACGCCGCCTCAGCCTGACGCAGACAGAGCTGGAAGAAATGCGCACTGGCCTGGAGGGCAGCGAGCGCTCTCGCAAACTCCTGGAGCAGGAGCTGATAGAGATCACTGAGAGGCACAACGAAATCAATGTCCAGGTAAAAACAAATTCCACGCTGTTGATACTGGGTCATTATACTGTTTGCTCTGCTGCTGGCATTAAAAGTCTGTTGTGCTTGATGAGAATGTACTGTGCTGTAAAGAAAATGTTATGAAAGAATAAATAAAAATCCGATTGATTTTATTAGAGCCAAATCTAGCCGCAAAACTCTCAGCGACTTCAGTGGCAGCCTGAGTAAGGATTGCAGGATTCAACCCATAAAGGATTAAATATGATATTATTCCTTATGGGGAAAGTCCTATAGAATTTACGATGAACAATACCAAGAAGGTTCTATGGATATTACACTAAGGATGGGATATTCAGGAATGCTCAGCGTTGGCCCAAGTCTATGATCCATTGTCGCCAGTGGGAGCAGAATTAGGACAATGCTGAGTGCTTTTGAAAATGCCACTGTAAAAATCTATAGGGTGAAATGCTGGCTCCACTGAAGTCAATGTGAATTTTGCCATCGGCTTCACTGGTGTCAGGATTTTACCCCTAGAATTTAATGAAGAGTGAGATCCATTTGATTGAAATTTTAAACCATCCTACAGAATGCAAAGAAAATGATATCCTGCTATAGGATTCTGTGAGCTGGTTTCAAAATTCTAGAGATGGTTTATCATTATTTATTACATGCTCTAGGCCTTTTTCCATAAAGCATGGACTAAATGTGGTAAGGATTTCCAAAGAGGGGGAAGATCTACAAGATAAACTGTTGGAAAGGACTAATAATAGAGAGAAGCATTTGCATACTGAGATGATGAGGGGACTTTGTTCATCTAATCTGAGATGTAAATACCACTTTTTATCAGAGACATAAAAAATATAACTAATACATTTACTTGTAACTGATGCTCATAGGCTAAATTTTCGGCAGCTAAAGTGCTGTATTTATGTCCCATAGTCTTCCTGATGCTTGCTTGTTATACAGAACTAATATTGCACAGTGCTTGCATTGTACTTTACAGCAGGGATAGTCGATTATTTTTTGTCAAGGTCCAAATTTTTTGGTCAAGGTATAATCAAGGTTTAGACTCCAGAGAAAATAATAAAAAATAACAATAAAATAGTAATAATAAATAAAAAGATTTCAGGGACTATTCAGAAGTGTCTGGGTGGTCCAGATTTGGCCCGGGGTCTGCCTATTGACTACTCCTGCTCTACAGTATTGTGGTACATAGACTTGATGCTGTAGTACTGAAGATCTTGGAAGTCTATACAATGCATTTGTTTGGTTATTTAGTAATGTTTCTAGGTATAATTGTCTTAGCATTTGGGCTCCTTACAAAAAATCTAAAGCTATACCCATTGGCAAACATTGTGATTAGATGTAGGATTTTCAGATTTCCCATGAGGCAAAAGATACTTATCGGCTGTAAGTTCTTTGCACAGCAATTCTCTCTGTGTAGAGTAACTATAGACGAAAACGTCTGGATGCTACTGCAATGTAAGTTTGAAAAAATAATACACACGCATGCACACAAATACAGTGAAGCAGGATTAAAATGAAAGACTTTGGTAGACAAAGGGATAGAACGCATGATACAAGATTTTGGTTTCCAAGGAAAATCTTTGTGATATAAAAGTAAAATAAACATACAGGGTCAAATGCATCCCTAGTTTCAAGCCAGCAAAAGTGCCAAGTCATCTGCTCAAAGATCTATTTAGAGCCCGCAAAGCTACGCTGGGTCACTGAGTCTTCCCTCCTCTCTCCAGAACCAAAGCCTGCTGGTGATAAAGCGCAAACTGGAGTCTGACCTTATGCGCATTACAAGCGAACACGAGGAGATGATCAGCGAGTTCCGAGCGGCTGATGAGCGAGCCAAGAAAGCCATGGCTGATGTAAGTTGCACCCGGCCCTCAGTGATGGTCCCTAGAAACCTGGGGGTTGTATATTCTGCTCTTTCCTACACTGCTCAATTTTGAAGTGCATTGTTATTGATGAATCTTTGCACTTATCTAACATTTCCCATTCCCAAAGGGCTGCACATACATCAGCTCATCTGTCCACCAATATGGGGAAAAAAAAGATCTGGAGAAATCTACTTCTGTTCTGTCCCCTTGCTAGGGAAGGGATCTTCAGCATTACTAATGGTGCCCTGGGAAGCTCCTCCATTTCCCCTTCTGTTTTGTCCCCGCTTTCCTCAAGACTTAACATTGAAACTATCATGCTTCCAACCAAAGACTGGACACCTTCCTTCCGTAGCCAGTCAATGCTATTCATAATTTTCATGGAGAGCAGAAGAGTGGCCACTGTTGAGTAAATTTCTCAGTTGGCACTTAAAAATTGACACCTTAGAAATTCCATAGATAGCTGTAGAGTTAATGCTCGGTATTTCCTCCTGAAAAGAGGCTGAACATTCTGCCTTCTTTATGCTCTCAGCTACTGCTTGTTCATACAGCACCCTCATCCAGAATCCAGGGCAAGAAGCCCAGGCTGGACCCTGCTCCCAGGGGCTGCCTCCTGCTCCCAGCTCTGAACCTTGGCTATTAGTCAATTTCATGGCTCTGTGCTGTGAAATTGACAAGGCTGTCTGGCTTCTGGAGGGGAGTGGACATGGGGGGGAGAAGCTCTCAGCTCCCCACACTGCCCCTCTTAGGTTGGTGGAGACGCTCCTAGTGAGGACGTGCACCACCAATCCAAGGAGGGTAGTCTGGATATGCACCACCGCAGTAATTATTGCGGGGGCTTTAAGTCGATCTAATATAGGTTGACTTATGTTTTTAGTGTAGACATACCCTACGGTATGTTCTAATCTCTTCTTCCTAGGGGAGAAAAGAAAGCATAAGCACTGGATTGTCTATAGGCAGAAATTGCTGACTGAATAAGAGGGATGGGTAATATCTTATACTATACCCCTGTGATAGTAAGCAAGTGCAAATCTCCTAGCTTGAGGCCTGATCCAAAGCCCATTGAAGTCAACGGGAGCCTTTCCATTAGAGAGGCAAACTGTGATACATAGAACAGACTTCTAGATCCTGCAAAATTCCCCATATGGCAGCATATGGACATCAGGTCTAAATATCACTGCTTCCAATGCTCAGTATAAATAGTCTGTGCTGACAAGCTGTTTCTTACCCTCCTCTTAGGCTTCTCGCATGGCAGAAGAGCTGCATCAGGAGCAGGATCACTGCATGCACCTGGAAAAGATCAAAAAGAACTATGAAATCACAATAAAAGACCTGCAAGTCAAGATGGAAGAGGCTGAGCAGTTGGCCCTGAAAGGAGGAAAACGTATGATCATGAAACTTGAGACCCGGGTAAGAAAAACTGGATAGGTCTACTCAAAAAACATTCTTCCAACACATCTGTCCAACACTTCCCTGACCAGAGCTTTAGTATTCAGGAGAAATATTTGAAAAGAAAAGGAATGTTTTTATTAAAGGGCCAATGTATCCCAGATAGATTAAACTAAACTAAAGAGAAAATAATAGCAAAATATATTCTAGATACATTAAAATCCACCCAGGCCATACTCAGCCGACTGCAATGCAAAGAAAGGTCACTGCTGCTCCTCTGTGTCATATGCCATGTCTGGTTGGATCCTACATGTCCTTGGCTATAACACTAGGGCATATTATCATTAGCAAGCCATCTCTCTGTCGTAGATCCCACCTGGGTCCTCCTGGCCCCAGTTCACACAAGGTCCTATTGGAGCCAGTGATATATCTCATTGGGATTCTTTTCATATCTATTGCAACTGGAATACCCCATAGTCAGTAAATAAAAGCCACAAAACCACTTTCCAGATTCTTAGCGTGACTCCAGGTCTCCACGTCCATCATGCTAAACACAATCAGTACTAACGTACCCTGCTGGGTTTTTACCCCCTTTTCAGATTAAGGAACTGGAAACGGAGCTAGATTCCGAACAGAAGCGTCATGTGGAGACGGTGAAAAGTCTGCACAAGAATGAACGCCGCCTGAAAGAGCTGATCTTCCAAACAGAAGAGGACCACAAAACCAACCAGCGCATGCAGGAGCTTGTGGAGAAGCTGCAGAACAAGCTGAAGATTTACAAGAGACAAATTGAGGAGGCCGTATGTACCCCAGACTGTAACCCTCCTGTCTTGCGCACACACACAATAATATCTACCACATATGTTGCATCTTCAAAAGAAAGATAACCTGAAATACGTGTTCATCAGTAGCATTAGCACCTCCAGTCATCAGGCTCCTGTTTTATGCTCCCTTTTCCTGCCATCATTGATAATACAGGCCCCAATGTATCTATAAAAAGAAAGCCACCTAAACACCCACCCGCCTTATCCTTTGCAAAAAATCAGATTAATGCATGTTGTCATCTCAACCTCTTGCAGTCCTTTGGCTGCCCTCACAAGTTGCCTCCAATATCTGGGGGGATGTGTGTGTAAAATGTATTTATTCCTGGTCCAACAGTTTACTGTACACTTTGCCTGGTTGGTTGTATTGAAGGAATACAGGTCAGAGCCATTTTGTGCTGGTGTGGTCTAATATAAAGACTTAAAAAAAATAAGCCAAATCTTCTCATGTCCCCAGGAGGAGCAGGCTAACCAGAGCATTGCAAAGTACAGAAAGACAGTGCACGAGCTGGATGATGCAGAGGAAAGGGCTGGAATGGCTGAATCGGCTCTAAACAAATTGCGCACCAGGCACCGTGTCTCAGCAAGCAAAGGATTCACCTCTGTGGAGATCATCCAAGTGTCGAAGTCTTCTGCTTCCAAGTCCGCATCCGGGGAATAGACACCTATGCTCGGAACCTGCAGCTGGTAGGGCTGCATGCCTTGCCTTTTTCAGACAGGGTACTGGGGTGGATTCGGAAAC